TCCTCCATACTCAAGGGGCTACACTCACTTGATCCTCCATACTCCAGAGGTTACACTCACGTCATCCTCTATGCTCCAGTAGTTACACTCACTTCATCCTCCATACTCAAGGGGTTACACTCACTTCATCCTCCATACTCAAGGGGTTACGCTCACGTCATCCTCTATGCCCAAGAGGTTACGCTCACTTCATCCTCTATACCCCAGAGGTTACGCTCACTTCATCCTCTTTACTCCAGGGTTTACACTCACTTCATCCTCGATAATCCAGGGTTTACACTCACTTCATCCTCCATACTCAAGGGGTTACGCTCACGTCGTCCTCTATGCTCCAGTAGTTTCACTCACTTCATCCTCCATACTCAAGGGGCTACACTCACTTCATCCTCCATACTCCAGAGGTTACGCTCACGTCATCCTCTATGCTCCAGTAGTTACACTCACTTCATCCTCCATACTCAAGGGGTTACACTCACTTCATCCTCCATACTCAAGGGGTTACGCTCACGTCATCCTCTATGCCCAAGAGGTTACGCTCACTTCATCCTCTATACCCCAGAGGTTACGCTCACTTCATCCTCTTTACTCCAGGGTTTACACTCACTTCATCCTCGATAATCCAGGGGTTACACTCACTTCATCCTCCATACTCAAGGGGTTACACTCACTTCATCCTCGATACTCCAGGGATTACACTCACTTCATCCTCTTTACTCCAGGGTTTACACTCACTTCATCCTCGATAATCCAGGGTTTACACTCACTTCATCCTCCATACTCAAGGGGTTACGCTCACGTCGTCCTCTATGCTCCAGTAGTTTCACTCACTTCATCCTCCATACTCAAGGGGTTACACTCACTTCATCCTCGATACTCCAGGGATTACACTCACTTCATCCTCTTTACTCCAGGGTTTACACTCACTTCATCCTCGATAATCCAGGGTTTACACTCACTTCATCCTCCATACTCAAGGGGTTACGCTCACGTCGTCCTCTATGCTCCAGTAGTTTCACTCACTTCATCCTCCATACTCAAGGGGTTACACTCACTTCATCCTCGATACTCCAGGGATTACACTCACTTCATCCTCTTTACTCCAGGGTTTACACTCACTTCATCCTCGATAATCCAGGGTTTACACTCACTTCATCCTCCATACTCAAGGGGTTACGCTCACGTCGTCCTCTATGCTCCAGTAGTTTCACTCACTTCATCCTCCATACTCAAGGGGCTACACTCACTTCATCCTCCATACTCCAGAGGTTACGCTCACGTCATCCTCTATGCTCCAGTAGTTACACTCACTTCATCCTCCATACTCAAGGGGTTACACTCACTTCATCCTCCATACTCAAGGGGTTACGCTCACGTCATCCTCTATACCCCAGAGGTTACGCTCACTTCATCCTCTAAACCCCAGAGGTTACGCTCACTTCATCCTCTTTACTCCAGGGTTTACACTCACTTCATCCTCGATAATCCACGGTTTACACTCACTTCATCCTCCATACTCAAGGGGTTACACTCACTTCATCATCTATACTCACGGGGTTACACTCACTTCACCCTCTATACTCAAGGGGTTACACTCACTCCATCCTCCATACTCAAGGGGTTACCCTCACTCCATCCTCCATACTCAAGGGGTTACGCTCACTCCATCCTCCATACTCAAGGGGTTACGCTCACTTCATCCTCTATACTCAAGAGGTTACGCTCACTTCATCCTCTATACTCAAGGGCTTACGCTCACTTCATCCTCTATACTCAAGGGGTTACACTCACTCCATCCTCCATACTAAAGGGGTTACGCTCACTTCATCCTCTATACTCAAGGGGTTACGCTCACTTCACCCTCTATACTCAAGGGGTTACCCTCACTTCATCATCTATACTCAAGGGGTTACACTCACTCCATCCTCCATACTCAAGGGGTTACCCTCACTCCATCCTCCATACTCAAGGGGTTACGCTCACTCCATCCTCCATACTCAAGGGGTTACGCTCACTCCATCCTCCATACTCAAGGGGTTACGCTCACTCCATCCTCCATACTCAAGGGGTTACGCTCACTCCATCCTCCATACTCAAGGGGTTACGCTCACTTCATCCTCCATACTCAAGGGGTTACGCTCACGTCGTCCTCTATGCTCCAGTAGTTTCACTCCCTTCATCCTCCATACTCAAGGGGTTACACTCACTTCATCCTCCATACTCCAGGGGTTACGCTCACGTCGTCCTCTATGCTCCAGTAGTTTCACTCACTTCATCCTCCATACTCAAGGGGTTACGCTCACGTCATCCTCTATGCTCCAGTAGTTACACTCACTTCATCCTCCATACTCAAGGGGTTATACTCACTTCATCCTCCATACTCAAGGGGTTACGCTCACGTCATCCTCTATGCTCCAGTAGTTACACTCACTTCATCCTCCATACTCAAGGGGTTATACTCACTTCATCCTCCATACTCAAGGGGTTACGCTCACGTCATCCTCTATACCCCAGAGGTTACGCTCACTTCATCCTCTATACTCAAGGGGTTACACTCACTTCACCCTCTATACTCAAGGGGTTACGCTCACTTCATCCTCTATACTCTAGAGGTTACGCTCACTTCATCCTCTATACTCAAGGGGTTACGCTCACTTCATCCTCTATACTCAGGGGTTACACTCACTTCATCCTCTATACTAAAGGGGTTACTCTCATTTCGTCCTCAATACTCCAGAGGTTACGCTCACTTCGTCCTCTATATTCCAGTGGTTACGCTCATTTCGTCCTCTATATTCCAGAGGTTACGCTCACTTCATCCGTGATACTCCAGGGGTTACACTGTACCTTCGATTTTTTATTACATATTCCATTGACACAGAGAGCGTAAGTGAGGGTAACTCCTTGAGTATCAAGGGATAAGTGAGAGTAACCCCTAGAGTATCAAGGGATAAGTGAGAGTTACCCTTGGAGTATCGAGGACTAAGTGAGAGTAACCCCTGGAGTATCATTGAAGTGAGAGTAACCCCTGGAGTAGCATTGAAGTGAGAGTAACACCTGGAGTATCATTGAAGTGGGAGTAACCCCTGGAGTAGCATTGAAGTGAAAGTAACCACAGAAGAATAATTAAAGTGCGAGTAACCCCTGGAGTAGCATTGAAGTGAAAGTAACCAAAGAAGAATAATTAAAGTGAGAGTAACCCCTGGAGTATCATTGAAGTGAGAGTAATCCCTGGAGTATCATTGAAGTGAGAGTAACACCTGGAGTATCATTGAAGTGGGAGTAACACCTAGAGTATCATTGAAGTGCGAGTAACCCCTGGGGTAGCATTGAAGTGAAAGTAACCACAGGAGTATAATTAAAGTGAGAGTAACCCCTGGAGTATCATTGAAGTGAGAGTAACCCCTGGAGAATAATTAAAGTGAGAGTTATCCTTGGAGTATCATTGAATTGAGAGTAACCCCTGGAGTATCATTGAAGTGTGAGTAACCCCTGGAGTATCATTGAAGTGAAAGTAACCTTTGGAGTATCGAGGATGAAGTGAGAGTAACCCCCTGAGTATCATTGAAGTGAGAGTAACCCCTGGAGTATCATTGAAGTGAAAGTAATCCCTGGAGTTTCATTGAAGTGGGAGTAACACCTAGAGTATCATTGAAGTGCAAGTAACTCCTGGAGTATCATTGAAGTGAGAGTAGCCCCTGGAGTATCATTGAAGTGAGAGTAATCCCTGGAGTATCATTGAAGTGGGAGTAACACCTAGAGTATCATTGAAGTGCGAGTAACCCCTGGAGTATCATTGAAGTGAAAGTAACCACAGGAGAATAATTAAAGTGAGAGTAACCCCTGGAGTATCATTGAAGTGTGAGTAACCCCGGAGTATCATTGAAGTAAGAGTAACCCCTGGAGAATAATTAAAGTGAGAGTAACCCTTGGAGTATCATTGAATTGAGAGTAACCTTTGGAGTATCATTGAAGTGTGAGTAACCCCTGGAGTATCATTGAAGTGAAAGTTACCCTTGGAGTATCGAGGATGAAGTGAGAGTAACCCCCGGAGTATCATTGAAGTGAGAGTAACCCCTGGAGTATCATTGAAGTGAAATTAACTCTTGGAGTATCATTGAATTGAGAGTAACCTTTGGAGTATCATTGAAGTGAGTGTTACCCCTGGAGTTTCGAGATTAGGTGAGAGTAACACTTGGAGTATCATTGAAGTGAGAGTAACACCTGGAGTATCATTGAAGTGAAAGTAACCCTTGGAGTATCATTGAAGTGAAAGTAACACTTGGAGTATCATTGAAGTGAGAGTTACCCCTGGAGTTTCGAGGATTAGTAGTCCGAATTATTCTGACGTTTTATCGACTTTTTTCATATCGGTCTGTCGTCAATCGACGACAGACCGATATGAAAAAAGTCGATAAAACGTCAGAATAATCCGGACTAGAGGATTAGGTGAGAGTAACTTCTGGAGAATCATTGAAGTGAGAGAACCCGTGGAGTATCATTGAAGTGAAAGTAACCTCTGGGGTATCATTAAAGTAAGAGTAACCCCTCGAGTATCATTGAAGTGAAAGTAACCTCTGGAGTATCATTGAAGTGAGAGTAACCCCTGGAGTATCATTGAAGTGAAAGTAACCCCTGGAGTATCATTGAAGTGAAAGTAACCTCTGGAGTATCATTGAAGTTAGAGTAACCCCTGGAGTATCATTGAAGTGAGAGTAACCCCTGGAGTATCATTGAAGTAAGAGTAACCCCTAGAGTATCATTGAAGTGAGAGTAACCACTGGAGTATCATTGAAGTAAGAGTAACCCCTGGAGTATCATTGAAGTGGGAGTAACCCCGGAGTATCATTGAAGTGAAAGTAACCTCTGGAGTATCATTGAAGTGAAAGTAACCCCTAGAGTATCATTGAAGTGAAAGTAACCCCACGAGTATCATTGAAGTGACAGTAACCCCGGAGTATCGTTGAAGTGAGAGTAACACCTGGAGTATCATTGAAGTTAGAGTAACCCCTGGAGTATCATTGAAGTGAGAGTAACCCCTGGAGTATCATTGAAGTGAGAGTAGCCACTTGAGTATCCTCATCAAAGTAATGGCATAGCGTCTCATAAGAAAGCAAAATCGAAAAATAATTGAGGTTCAATATCAAAGTTCGAATAATATCTTAGGTTATCACAATGTACCACAAACTATTCTACCATCAGGGGCATCATGATGAAGTTATACCTATCATACTGGGTTTTTTTAAATTGAAGAAGCATAAAACGTATCTTCGGCCTAAGGGAGATAACTTTCCCAAGAAAAGTATATTCTTATGTGGATAACGTAATCTTATTATTATAAATGAATTAAAATAATATTTTAAAATGAATAAATCAAACTGTATTTTTTTTTATAACAATAGCCAATAAAGACTACTATATATATATATATATATATGATCTTATTTGGTTTAGGTAAACCGCTTGCAGTGCTCTCCATCCCAAGTGACAAAGAGTCCTATTGAGTGATGTCGTATCATTTTTCTATTTATAGATTTTGTTTAAAACTATAGCTACTCCTTTTATCCCGTTCAGTGTTATTTTTGAAATGACAGCAGTAACTGATGTTTAGTATGTTATATTTGAACAGTCAGGCTATGCTATATCAGATGAACAAAGAAGTTAATGAGTTGAAACATTCATTACAAGATTCAACAAAGCCTAACTATGACAAGCTGAATATTCGACTGGTGTAACGAAATTGAATCCTGACAACATAACATGGAGTTTGTGTGATACCATGCTAATGTCCTTGTGTAATGACGAAAAGATAGCATATGCCCCAAGGGGACCTAACAATTTGTTACAGCTATATTTGGACCGATGGACTGATTATGAGTATATATATACGAGAAGAATCATAGGTGTGTCATTTTTACCGAAAGTCGATCTAAACACCTAAAACATGTAAAATTACTCTGAACACCTGAGTTAAGGTCCAAATATATCTATAACAAATTATCAGGTCCCTGTGATATGCACTAGATTATTGACGGTGTGGTAGAATATTACCTTGTGTAATATTCATTCATATATTTGGTGTTTTTTGTATAACCTTAGAACCTATCCTTCCGTGTTATCAAATGTCACTTCCTCTTCGAACCATACTTTTATTAACTAGTTGTACGGAGTTAACAGTACGGCATTGCCAACTCATCTACAAGGTATGTGTTTTATAAAACAACTACCCATAATCTGTCTAGTATTGGGGGTTTTCAACTACTCGTTACATGGTCACAAACGTATGATTACAATTTATGGGTATTGAAGTGAGAAAGTATCACAGTCGGGTTTCAGTCGACTGTAATAGTTGGATTTTAGATGAGATAGTGTACCATATAAGAAGAACGAGATCACTACCAACCAAATTTGTATTATTCGCCTCTTACGATGAAGATACATCCTGCCCCAGGGATAGGGCACATGCAGATTTGATGATGATAAAACATACTGTCTACACCATAGCTTATCTTAATGGGAAAAATAATATGCTAAAAAGGGGTAGATAGTATCATCAGGTAAGCTAATTCATCTTACACTGTATTCTATGCGGGCAGGAAATATTTCAAGTCATTAAAGCATTAAAAGCGTTGACACAGTATACATATAATGAAAGTCTACTCATGATTGTGAGACAAATGAGATTTATGTTCCGAGAAACAACAATCGTACAACATGTTTCAGCTAATTGTAAGCTGTATTGTATCATTTAGGATGGAAGGAAACTTAACTATGACAACCGGGTATTCCAGTACCATCACAACTACAGATGACATTATGACAACATGGAGTGCCGTCAGTACCACTTCAAAACCTGGTAAGGATCTGCCAGTACTTCCGGTAGTAATGATGCTCTTGTTTGGCGGAACCGGAAATATTCTAGCATTGATTCTTTTAATCTACACGTCACGGAAACACAAATGGCGGACGTTCTACCGGCTGGTGATGGCCCTAGCAGTTTCTGACTTTGTAGGTCTCGTCGGTCCACTTCCGGTCTCCATTTCTGCTTACGTCAATAACAAAAACTGGATGGGAGGGCAACCAGTGTGTGACTTTATGTCTTTTTCTTTCATATTTGCTGGAATGACGTCGGCTATGCTAGCCGCCGCAATGTCTCTGGACCGTTTCCTTGCTGTGTGGTTTCCATTTTTCTACTCCAATAGGTTAAGTGAACGTCGGGGGAACCTCACGATGGTGGGGATATTCACTTTTGCCTTCCTATTGGCTTGTATGCCATTAATGGGTGTAAACGGGAACGTTCACCAGTTTCCGGGAACTTGGTGTTTCTTTAATCAGTTTGCCATAGAGGCCGGAGGTCAGTTTTTCTCCTATTTATACGCCTGTCTTGGGATTGGTATGGTCGGAATAATGCTGGTCTTGAACACGCTGGTCATTGTGGTACTGACCAGACGGAGGGGCCTGAGAAGTAACAAGGAAGCTGGTGGAGTGACCTCGCAGACTCGCCGGACCAGTGACGTGTACAACGTTATATTCCTGGTGGTTCTCATGTTGGTCTTCACTATCTGCTGGCTGCCATTAATGGTAAAATCTTGTTTGCCGAGTTTATTCAATTTTATTTATTTATTGTAAATGGCAATTTTCACTTTTTGTTAATTCTTTGATGGTAGCGTAGTTTACTTTGTGTGTATTGACTCTTGATCACAAATAAACTATCTAAACACATTTAAATTTCCGTGAAATAAAAGGCCCCCGCCAAGCTACATATTTACTGACACCACGCTTGGTCCGGGTTTTTTCCCATTTATATACTTTATAAAAATGGTCCGATGGCTAAATAACAATACCTCAATGATAAAGAAAGTTGTAACATACGATTACGATATAGTAAGTATACATTTTAGGTTCATTACTATTACAGGTACGGATAATAATCAACCAATCAGCGCTTGGCCATATTGACCGTGTAGGTGATCTGATGGTCATGAGACTTGCCCTGACAAACCAAATTCTTGACCCATGGATCTACATTATCCTGCGGAAGGATTCCATAGCTAAGGCTGTAACACTCGGAAAACGTTTTTTTAATACAGGAAGTTTCCTACGACGGAAGTCTACAGATGAGAGTACTCCAAGCGGACAGGGCAGAACCTGCTCGAGTACGGCTGGGGATCGAACCTCGGATTCGGAAGCGTAAATGATCAGAGCCTTAGTACATATGTACATGCGCAGTGTGATCAAGAAGGACGCGGCGCAGTTTAAGGAAACTCTCCTGTACAATGTATCGCATCTTTTGTAGTGTAACACGTATTTGAGGTCAAAATACTAATTCAAATGTATTCTTAAATATATTCATGGGAGAAACATAGCAATAATAGGTATAGTCCCTGATCTAAACGTAATAATAAACAATGATATTACGCCTTCGTGTAGAGCAGAGACGAATACGCGCACTAATGCCCTCTGCATCCCTGGAAGATGTGATAGCACGCGGCTCGCTATTTCATAGGTCTCAGTTAAAAAAAAAAAGACCAATCGATAGACTATGTACATGTACTTTGAAGATAACAAAGGAGCGAAACCCGACTTCAAAGCCGGTGGTTTTTACCGTTACGCGACCGTGAGATTATTTTGATGTACATCAAAGGATCAAAATCGTCTTCTTGTCTCTACACAAAGTGGCGGACACTATGCCTTCGATTTTGCTATGACATATTCCAGGCGTGCAGCAAGCAAAATTGAAAGTAACCCCTGGAGTACCAAGAATGACATAAATAAACATTATTCTCAATCTTACAGTTTTACATTACATACATTCTTTCATAAATATACATTACACTCTATCGTACATATTTCAACAGTACAAATCTTACATGATTTAACATTACACATAATCTTAAATAATTAACATTACACTCAACCTGAGATAACTTAACAGTAACAATCTTAAATCATTTAACTTAAGCACGCAATCTTACATAACTTAACATTACACTCAATATTACATAATTTAACACTACACTCAATCTTACATGCTTAAACATTACACACAATCTTACATAATATCACATTACACACAATCATACATAATATCACATTACACACAATCATACATAATATCACATTATACACAATCTTACATAATTTAACATTACACACAACTTACATAAAATAACATTACACACAATCTTACGAACTTTAACATTACACACAATCTTCCGTACTTTAACATTACATGTTATCTTACATAATATATCATTACACACAATCTTCCGTACTTTAACATTACATGTTATCTTACATAATATCATATTACACACAATCTTACAAAATATAACATTACACTTTATCTTACATAATATACATTACACACAATCTTCCGTACTTTAACATTACACGTTATCTTACATACTTTAACATTACATGTTATCTTACATAATATCATATTACACACAATCTTCCGTACTTTAACATTACACTCAATCTTACATGCTTAAACATTACACACAATCATACATAATATCACATTACACACAATCTTACACAATATAACATTACACACAACTTACATAAAATAACATTACACACAATCTTACATACTTTAACATTACGCGTTATCTTACATACTTTAACATTACGTGTTATCTTACATACTTTAACATTACGTGTTATCTTACATAATATAACATTACACACAATCTTACATCCTTTAACATTACGCGTTATCTTACATACTTTAACATTACGTGTTATCTTACATAATATAACATTACACACAATCTTACACACTTTAACATTACGCGTTATCTTACATAATATCACATTACACACAATCTTACATAATATAACATAACACACAATCCTACATAATATAGCATTACACACAATCTTACATACTTTAACATTACGTGTTATCTTACATACATGTAATTAAACATTACTCTCAATCTTACATACCTTAACATTACACTCAATCTTACATACTTTAACATGACACTCAATCTACATACTTTAACATTACACTCAATCTTACATAATATAACATTACACACAACTTACATAATATAACATTACACACAATCTTACATACTTTAACATTACACGTTATCTTACATACATGTAATTAAACATTCCTTTATGAACTTTTTTTCTAACAGGTAGACATTCTTGTTTTCTATACTTGTAAGCGGTTATTATCTTTTTTTATTTTTTATTTCCATAACGAATCGTTATCGATTACGTGCCCATATTTAATAATTGTTCTTGTCAAATTCATTGCTTTGTATTTGGGAAACTTATGTTTCCATCTTCCAAGGTAGATACCAGTGATTTAATTTAGATTAATTTTCTATTTTCGAACCTGGTGCCTTTTCATATGTGTTTAATACTTTGAATGATTCAACTTTTGCTTTTTTCGTCTTTCCTGAAAAGTGGAGTGTTGTCTGCGAACGTATTAATTTTTCTTCAGTTTGACCCGGAAGTGTTATTCCTTTTATGTTATTATTGCAGTAGAGCAGGCTAAGGGTTCCGCTTGAATGATTATAAAATTGTCGTGATCGGGCACCTCTGCCTCTCGGATCGTGATATATTGAAGTATTCTGAGGTAAATACACGTCTTTATACTTGTATTAGCATCTAATAAAAGCATTTGTACTCAATCCCTAATTTCTTTTACCAAATTTAAAACATTCAAAACATATATCTATCCCCAATCAATCCTATCGAAAGCATTTTTGCATTTATCTTGTATTAGCCTATTTGCATCAGCAATTTTTCTTCCAGGAACAAAAACTGTCTGATCTTGATAAATAACTCAACGTTGTCGACGTCATACCATTAGTCTACGACTGCTATTGAAAATATCTGGAAGTATTTTTTTTATTTTATTTGCCAAAGTTATCGCTATAATTTAATACATATTTAACAGTGTGAGCAGTCTCCAGTTTTCATATCTTCACGTTCTCTCCTGTTCACGTCTTTGTACAAGAGTATTAAGATTCATTTTGATTGCGATTCTGGTATTTTATTCGTTCTGCATACAGTGTATTTCATTAACAAGTTCTCAAATAAATGAATACCATATCATTATACTTCCCCGGAAGACTTGTTCTTTTTCATTTCATTGATACTTTTAAATAATTCCTCCTTATACATTATCCAACATTATATTTCTCGCTCTCTCTCCCATCCTTCAGAGGTAACTAGCTTTTTGTAAAACCGAAAATCCATCTGTAGCTTTAATTCTATGCCACATTTTTTTTTCTCTTCGTTTTTCCAGCTCGAAGAAATGTTTTGTTGATCTCTCATTTTCTTCATACTCCTGGATCTTGCTCTCTTATTTTTATGTTATTTTAGAATACCTGTTATTTCATTGATTTTCTCCCCATTTTGGTTTTCTGTTGTTGTTACATGCAGTATATTTTATTCTTTTTACATTTCATTAATTTCTGTGTCAGTTTTGTTCAGAGTTTTAGATAGACTTATAACGATTTCCTTGATCTTAATCTTTGCAGTTTCCCACCATTCTTTTATTTCATTAAAATAATTCTTTTCTGTAATCCAGTATCTCGGAAAAGCTTCAAAAGGATTTTAAAACCCTCGCTTTCTATTGTATTAGCATTCATTTTTTTCATAACCCGGAACTTATTAATATTTTGTCCATATGAACTTTAACAGTGATCATATTATGATCACTATATATATATTACAAACCATGCAGAATTCCGGTATTGTGTACCTCACTTTCAATTCTAGGGCTGACAAGGAACATGTCTATTCTTCTTTTCGAATTTCCTTGTTTGGAAATGTAATAAGTTATTTATTTCGCAATAATAGCTCTCAAGAGCTAATGTTCCTTGTTTACCTGTATGCGACGTTAAATAAAGTTTCTTGTATCTTGTATCTTATTTGGGGATTTCCTAATTTCCATATATCTTTCAATTAAAAAGTTTCAATAAAATAAGTCAGATTCGGTTGAAGAGTCATCTAGGTTTTTTGCGGAAACGATCAACTTTATTAACTAAAATGCAATTGAAGTCGCCTGCATGCATATATCTATACTGTCACAAGAATGGTTGTTTATGATTATTTTTTGGTAAACTGGTAACGTTCTGTAGAGTTGTTTGGGGCATATGTTAAAATGCATTTATCGTCATTATTATCTTTACGTTCTAATAATCGTACGTCTGTCTGAATCTTGACTCTGCCTCTATAGCATTGCCTTCGAAATTGATAAATGCGACATCTGTCACTTCATTCAACGCCTTCCTAAAAGCAAGAGAGAGAATAACCCGATTATCTAAATATTCATTATCTCTACAAATATTTTTGTTTTATAGCTGTTCTATGAATAATACAGGCGCATTTTCTCTTTCGTGTAGATTATCCTCGATCATTTCCTCACAACTTCACCAAAAACAATAGGTGGTACAACATAGCTAAAACATTTTGTTTCTGTTTTCTATCGGAAGACGAGCACCGTCAGTCATGTGCATGTCTCATTGATTCCAAAACTTGACCGATCTCCCAGTTGTTTCTCATTACACAATCCTGATACATATTTCTCCGTTATGAGCGGACAAGTAAAAACCGGCCCGGCCCCTGCATCCCCAAGTATCCCTGTCAATTCTGCACCAGAGCAGTAAAATGTGGTCAATGAGATTTGGCCTGCGACAGATGATTCGTACCACGTACAATGTATGGCTGTGTCGACGGGGGATTTGTTCCTGTACGCCAACCAATCCACAGCATGGGTATGTAAGAACTGTGATACCCCAAACCACTTAACACTATACAGTTCAATCTCAGTTCAAAGTAACTCTTTTCAAGGCCTAGAGTTCGTGAATACCACATCTCTTGACAAATCGACACTATCATCAATGTTCAGCCCAGTACATTCATCTTCACTGAATGGTCACGCTACTAAAACCACACAACCCAAGCAGACAATGAACAATATCAAACCATTGTTATCAACGTTCAAAGCCTTAAGAACAATGTCCAGTATATACAAGTGCTCATTGACAACACAGAGCCTGACTCCATACTAGGAATCGAGACGTGGCTCCACGACAGTAGCCTATCGTGCAAGGTTCTACCTAGTAGTTACCAGGTGTACCCTGGAGACAACGACTGTTCAACATGGATGAGTCCTACTAGCGGTGAAGGACAACAGTGCCAGTATACAGATATATGTCAAAGGGCCGGCTTAGAAAGGATGTGACATATTAACACTGGCAGGACTTCCGTGACGAAATGTTAGCAATCCAGGAGGCTAAAGTTCCGCACAAGCAAACTAGATCACGCTTCACCAACCCCTCATCCTCGGGGTCTACACTCACTTACGCTGTCTGCACCCCTGGAATATGTCATGGCAAAATCGAAGGCTCGGTACGCGCCCCCTTGTGGATGAAACAAGAAGATTAGTTTGATCCTTGATAAACATCAAAAGAATCACGCGGTCGCTTAACGGTAAAACTGAAAGGGTGTCGCTCCTTTGTTATATTCAAAGGACATTTATCAGTTTAGCTTAGCGATTGGTAAAGGTATTTCAACTGAGACCAATGAAATATCTAGCCGCGTGCCTTCAATATTTTGCTATGACATATTCCATTGGTGCAAAGAGAGAAAGTGAGCGTAACCCCTGGAGTATCGAGGATGCCAACCCCTGAATACACACTGCTATAAGGCGTTTAATTCGTCAACGGGACAGAACGCATCAGATGGCCAGAGTCTCAAACAAAGACCGGGACAGATTCAGAGTGCTGAAATCCAAAAGTCACCTGTCAGTTAGGCAAGCATACGCCTGCTACCTGCGAGACATCATCAGACCTTTCCTGAAAAAGTGATATCAGAGGTGATGCTATTTGCAGATAACTGTCTACGAGTCCATCGGACAATCAACAGACAGGACAAGACAGTGCTCCAACAAGACCTGAAGGCTCTTGATCATGAGTCCAGGGAGAAAACATGGCAGATGCATGTCATTCAATCCAAGTGCATTACCATCAATATCTCCAAGAAAAGATTCCCCGACACCCAACCCTGCGCCTTGGGTTGGGTGTCGGGATTAAAGCCGCGTTAAAGCCATTTTGGTATCTTTGGAGTAGAACCCTGTGCCTTTCATGGTACACAGTAGAGACTGTCCTAGGAAGTAATTACTTTAACTGTTCCTTGGGAGTGTACAACAGTCCGCAAGTATTATCTTTGGGAAAGACATCAAACAGATAGATGCCATCAGATCCCTAGCATTCATGAAAAGAGCTTAGAGGCTGCGCCATGGATGCGAGGTAAAAAAACGTATCTTCCCTTGTTCAACCATTCTGGTGTATACTGCTACAGTACAGTTTGGAAACATTAGAGACGGTCCAATGACGAGTTACCGTAAATTTAAAGCAAAATGCAGGTACGTTTTAATCATAACCTGTCTATGAGGAAAACTATATAACTTGTCTGTTTCTAAACATATGAATATGATTTCTATAGTCATATTGTCAGATTAAACCTTTTTCGCTATATTTTTATTATGAAAATGATACCCGTGTTTTTTTCCGGATTTCTCATGTCGTTTCCCAAGTTAGTGATTACCCTAATCTTGGTGAGCAAGACGTTTAGCTTCTTGGACAACGCAACCAACCGTAAAATGCCAAAATTGTAACTACGGACAGTCAGTATTGGGGGGCATGAACATAAAAATGGATTGGGAAGGCAAAGTTTCATCCCTTTTGCGTGAAACGCAATCAAATTTGTCTCGGATGAAGGTTTGTATTGGCAACTTGAGCGCATATTTCTATTGACCAACATGCACCGGTCTAGTCATGTTTCACGTCAAAATTTTACAAATACAATAACAATACTGTACAATCGCAAGTAGAGTCTAGAGTCTGGGTATGTTAGTAAATTGACACTTTTGAGTCAATTTTAGTTCGACAAAATAACATTATTTGTGCACTAGGCTACCATTATCATTCTTGTATAATTTGGTTTATTTAAAATCAAATGTTCTGAGGACGCCTGGAGTATTTGAAAAGTACCCCCAACCTCCACCAGAGTGGATTAAGGAATGGATTTCCTTAAAGTGGAAGCAACATTTTTTTAATTATTGTCTAATTATATATGTTAATATATTAACATCTGTTTTGTATAACCAAGTGAAGATTTGTGGAAGATTATGGAAAGTGGATATACAACTTTGAAAAAAGACTCTTCCAGTCTCCTTTTTATGTCACTTTACTCTTAGTTTAAACAACATTGGGATACAACTCCTTTTTTTAGGGGCTTTTTTTCTCAACAACATCAGGATATGACTGCTCTTTTTCTGTTAATTTCCTTCATGTTTTAACAGCATCAATATCAGCAAGCAGCTGTTTTTAGCTAGATGTACTGGATCTGGAAATTACTGAAACAAAGGTTGACTTTGTCTTTTTCAGAGAAGAGTTGGAGATGGTACCTGTTTCCGTGGTAGCAACGACTGGAAGTACAAGAGATGTAGGTTGATTTTTGTTTTAAAGTTATCATTTTTTTTTAAAGATTATAAGTGCAAGTTTAACTAACATGATGATGACAAAATACATTCATCTTCATATTGATGTCATACATCAAGGTTTATGATATAAAACAAAAGAAACGTACATAGCCCACTGAACACCTATAGCTATTTCAGTTAATCACATTTACACATTCTAACTACTTGATGAATGAGGACATGAATGCATGCATTTCTTGAGTCTGTCTAAGAGAGTAAATATTAAATCTAGTCAACAAAACTGTTTACCTTGATGTTACTAGCTTAATCTTTTTCGATATAAGAAAATATTTTTGACTAGTATAATCTGTTATTTAAACTATTTTATTTAGAGGTCATTTACATTTCACTGACTTGTTTGGTTTTATTTGATGTTTGATGATCATATGTGTTCAGTATTCGGAATGAAATTTAATTTTTCAACATTCGTGATGTCATAACAACATTCGCTTTCTGAACATATTCCATGAACTGTGTTAGCTATTCTTGGTAAATATGTCCAGAAAGCCAATGTTGTTTTGACCTCATGAATGTTGAAAAAATGAATACATTCTTTATATTTATATTTTTAAGTGCTTTGAATTTTCCAATGCACGCATAAATAAAAATAAAAAAATGTTTTTTCCCCCTATTTATACATGGGGGCAACGCAGAAAAGAAAACAGCATGTTTTGCTGGAAAATTTGAAACTTCTGTTGGTGGTCCTAGCAACAGCGAAACAACAAAACAAACAAAATATAGTTCCATTTTCAAAATTTGATTTGTAGAATTTCTACAAGTCGTACAATATTACCATATACTTTACCTTACTTCAGCTTTAAAATCAAGCCAATAATGGTAATGTAAATTCATACTAGCATAACAAAACTACATCGATGGCTGTTCCATGGCGGATGTGGAGCAAGTTAAGCCCTGTGCTACGTCATTGTAGTGTATCAATACGCGGTGATGAGGTCACCTGTGTTATGCAAAATGAATGTCATTTTCAATGGGTACAAGTTAAGCATAAAGAACATAAATATAAATCTATGAAGGTTAATCTGATTTAACCGCAAAGCAAATGAATTTACAATTGCTGGGTTGATAAGTGATTAATATGGATCTGACAATTTTGTAATTTGCCATAAAAAATAATCTCTGCATAAATTTGTGATGAACATACTAATATTTTTAAATGAAGAATGATCAATTGTCAAGATTGATGCTATGAAATGAAAAAAATAATACAAGTTGATTTAGAAATTGTCTGTGTTAAAATTAAAACTTTGTTTATGAATGTAATCCAGTGTCTTTGAGTGTTAATTTTGCATACACAATAATCTTCAATTGAAATGACTAAAAATAGGTGCAAGAATTTTGGAGATTTGTAAAAAGATTTTATTTTTTTCATCCATAATTATTATTTGGCTCTTACCTGTATCCTATATAGGATATATACCTAAAACATCCCAATCACTGTTTTATTATCTTAGATTCCAGTTCATCTCCGACAATGAGGAGATTTTCTTCCACGTCAGACATACCACGAACCTCCCAGTACCCTGGTGGTATGACATCATCTTTCAGACAGGGGACACAACTCAGTACAATACCAGATACCTATGAATCAAGTGCCTTAGATAATAAGTCATATACCCCTGGCGGTGCTCTGACTGGCACCGCATATGGTGCCAATCACAGCACAACATACACAGGGGCCACTGGTGGTGCTAGTTCAAACCCCATGTTTACACAATCACTGCAGGAGAAACTGGACCAACAAAACAAGGTATGTAGATCTAGAGAGGAAACATTTTAACAAATTAACATCTTTTTTCCTATAGATTAACTAGTCTTGGTTTCCTCAATCCAACCAATTGTAAACGAAGCTTAAGTCTGTTTAATTACTATTGTGAGTATCCTCACTCAAGAGATAAAAGCTGTTCTATAACCTCTGTTGGTTTCCTCACTCCTGATCCGTTGGATGAGCTATATGTACAAGTAAATTACTAAAAGTAGTTGTTGTTTAAATGTGTTACCCTTATAATAAACCTGTGACATTTCTTTATAAAGTTTGATAATACACAAAACAACCGTTGTCTTCACGTTTTTTAGATCATTTTAAGGCTTGCGATCTTTCGTCAAAAGTCATGAAATACAAATTATTTGTTGAAATTTTGACAGCTAATAGATCAACTGATGCAGATGGTTCACAAGCTTGAAAGTGAGAGAAACAATTATGGAGAGCAGATCCGAGATATCCGAGGTAGGTCAGAGAAAATGTATTATACATGTGTGCAGTCAGGGTCAAGTGGATGAATATTGCATATAAAATATTGAATAATTAAAGAATATTTGTTCTTATTTCTGTTAAGTCAATTGGTTGGAGGATGCAGTAATGAAGATGTTTTTGTAGGAGCTATACAGTCACTGGGTTTGGAGGGTGAAGTGAGGTGTACTGCGTTTGTATGATATATAAAGTCCTTACCTATTGACTTTTTAACCTAGTTAATTTTCTTTAATGTCTTACAACAGTGTTGTTTAACCATAATTGACTTGAATTGTTAATGGACAGTAATGCAAATATGCAATAATGTACTTTTGTATGAGATATACAGTCAGGCAATGGGAGGTCACATGATGGGAAGATGTAAAAGAATGATGTGCTGTTGTTTATTTATGAGATATCCAGTCACATGATGGGAGTGTGTACTAGGATGATGTGCTGTTGTTTACTAGGGGCCTGTTCGTTTATGCGGAACAACCGGTTCGTCTGTTTTTAACTGTAACATTTTCAGGTACAAATACTGGCGGACCTGCAATTGTAAAATGCAGGCCTTGCAAGGCTTTGTCAAAGCTCGCCTGAAAACAACATCAGATTACTAGGTCTGACTTTATTTCATAAACGAACAATGGTCCTATTGGTTCAACCGTTCGAATCACGATAAACAAAATGGCCCTGGATATGTATGCGGTTAAAGTCACACAATAGGAGGGTGTAGTAGGATGTTATGCCAAAGTTATGTATGAGATATACAGTCACAGGGAGGGAGTTGTATTGGGATGATGTGTTACTCTTTTTGTAGGACATAACAGTCACAGGGAGGGAAAGTATACAAGAGAAATGTGTTGATTCTTTTTCGTAGGAGAGATACAATCACTGGGTGGGAGGATGTATGACAAGAATTCAGACAACTCAATAGAGCGTCGCATGGAGCAGGTGAAGCGTGAGATGTTGTCTGAGATACATGTGCTGCAAAATCAGGTACAAGTGTACCGAAACAAGGGGGACAACCCAGTGTCAGACATTCAAGTGAACTCCCTCAGTAGAGATATGCAGGATATGTAAGTATAAATCTACTATTGATAACTGTTACAGTATTATATTACTGTATATATCCTTTATATCTGTCTAAATTAACAACATTATGGTAAATGGTCATCTACTATATAGCTACATGTGAGATGACAATAACTATGCGGACATTTTTTACCCTGAGCCAAGGTGACCATTCATAATTTTCCAGGTGCATTAAAAAGTGTCGATATCAGCCATAGACATGCATTGTTTTACTGGCAATTGCACAAAAAATGGTTATTGTCACCTATGTTTGGCAAATGAGAAAAATAAATTATACCACCATCTTGTTTTGTGTTGGATTTATACAGATTCTTCCTCCACGATATATCTTCAAACTCTCTGTGTGTTCCAGATCCTAACAAAACAATATGTTCTCGCCACCTTTAGTTAGATAGTACAGTCTTATTTACGTTACCTTATATTCCAATGGCAATGCTGAAATTAGAAATGTCGTTTCCTACATCTGTAAAGCTATAAAGTTATGACGAAAACACATTGGGAAAGATTTAGAGAGAACAGACTTGTAACAATTTTCTGCTCATATAAACTTTGCATGTCTTTACATAGCCGTGTGAAATTTATAGAAATGTCCTAAATGACAGTAATTGAAGATACAAGCTGTCATGTCTAAATAATAAAAAAAAGTATGCAAAGAGTACATCATTATTTGACAGGAAACACACTTTAAGAGATGAAATGGAAACTGTGAAGAGGGATGTAGAAGTACTGAAGAGTAGACTCAGTAAGTCATTCTGTTGTACAATTTCAAATTTCTTTTTTTATTACTATCTTAAACCTTTGACATGTATCATTAACTTGGGCTGTGATATTGATGTTTACTTTTCCCTTGTATTGGTTATCTGATTTCATTATGAGTATGTACATATGTAATTTTATTAATCGTAGATGTACAATAACTTTTGTTCACAGTGAAAATAGAACTGGATATGTCAGGCATTTACTCTGACCGTAAAGACATTGAACGTCGTCAAGACAGGATTGATAGGGTAAGAGACCTTGTTGGTATTCACCTTTATGAAAGTCAAGGTCATTCTGTATCAAAATTGGTGACACTTTTGTGGTTATTAATAATCAAATAAATTGTATTTATTGACATAATCTTAATATCATAGAACCCATTTATTTTTAACATTGAATAATTTTCTTGAAATCCTCGTTGAAGTTGAATGTAATATATGTAATAATGAGCCTATCTGTCTTTCAAATATATACAAATATTGCTCTAATGTTACTATTTATTCTCTTTGTACAAAAAACATGGTTTGTAACTTTAATTAATCAAAGTGAAGCAATAACAAAACATTTTTAACTGAAACAACAAAATAGGAGATGAAAAGTAGTTTTCATTACTTACACTAGCAATAATTCATAATGTTTAAAGTGGATAATGAAAACAAATTCTCTCTACAGACTGTGCAAGATTTGTCTTCTTCTCCTGCCAAAACACTGTCCACTCCGTACTGGTCATCACCTGGGCATGCCCCTACTACTTCCGACAAATTACACATGTCAGAGCTCAGGTAATTATTAGACCTACAAACTACACATCTCCGAACCTCAGTATTGAAATCTAGAGTCGCAGCACATGGCCACATTATCCCATCTTTTAATGTGTTACGTATTGCATGTTTAGGTCACCTGAGACAAAGTCTCAAGTGACCTATTGCGATCGCCTTTTGTCCGTCGTCGTCCGTCGTCCGTCGTGCGTCCGTAAACAATTTACATTTTCGACTTCTTCTCCAAAACCCCTGAACCAATTTCAATGAAATTTTGCAGGGACCTTCCAT